CGGGGGTGGGTGTGGAGCCTGGGAGCTGCCGAGTGTGGAGGGCGGAGCGGGACGATGCCAGAGCTGGGGGACCCCCAGCAGCCTGGAGGGGGGAGCACGGAGAGGGAGGAGCCCCAGGACTCCCAGGAGCCTGAAATGGGGGGCACGGAGAAGGGGAAGCCTGGACAGTGGGGACCCCTGGGATTCTCAGGACAACAAAGTGGAGAACGTGGAGAGGGAGAATGTCTGGGAACACGGCACCCGGAAGGTGAGAGTCAGAGAAGGGACCCTTGGGACCCCCAACACTCCCAGCATCCCAGACAGGGGAGACCCTGCGAACCCAAGAGCGGAGAGACCAGAGAGGGGGAACTTCTGTGAGAGTTTTTTTGGACTGAATCTTCATATTTTGGAGTATATTTTGGCTGAGTCTCAACTTCTTGCGGTTTTTTGGGGAGGTTCATCTCACTCTTTCTGGGTGGTTGTTGGCTGAATCTTGGGGTTTTGGAGGTTTTTATGGTCACAGGATGCCCAGTGAGTTCTAGAGATGGACATGGGCAGGAGGAACCCCCAAGCCAACACGCTCAGCCCTTGTTTTTCCTCCCCATCAGGATTTGTCCTTCCCAAAGCTTGGGTGGATGAAGGAGGAGGCTGCAAGGAAGAGGAAGATGCCTTTGGCCTCCCAGGCAGGTGAGGAGGAAGTCAGTGTCCCTTTGGGCGGGTGTTGTGCTGGCTCTGGCAGCCCAGCATGGCCCCCGGCTGCAGGACAACCCCGCTGCCGCCGCCGTCCTGCCGGGGCCGGAGTTGGGGTGATGTCCTTGGCCTTCCCTGTGGGCCGGAGGCAAATCCCCTCCCTGTCCTTCTTGCTTCCTGCCCCAGGCCCCGAGCTGAGGACGGAGAGCCCGGAGGACAAATCCCCCCGGCAGACCCTGGTGGGAGAGGCCGTTTTGAAGGGCTCCACGGTGCAGGAAGGCAGCGGGGAGGAAAAGGGCCGGAGATCCCTGCGGAGGAGGGGCTCCAAAGCCAGCCCAGGGTGCTCTGAGGAGGAAAGACCCAGCCTGTGCTGGGAAGGCAGCCAGAGCTTGAGCCATACCTCTGACTTGGTGGTCCCTGAGCAGCCTCCCAGCAGGGAGAAGCCCTTCAGGTGCTTGGAATGTGGGAAGAGCTTCAGGAAAAGCACCACCCTCCTCACCCACCAACACATCCACACTGGGGAACGGCCCTACATTTGTGGAAAATGTAGGAAGAGCTTCAGTGACAGCTCCCGCCTTCGCATCCACCAGCGCATCCACACTGGGGAACGTCCATACACGTGTGGGGAATGTGGGAAGAGCTTCAGGCACAGCTCCACCCTGATCGAACACCTGCACATCCACACTGGGGAACAGCCCTATACGTGTGGGGAATGTGGAAAGAACTTCAACTGCAGCTCCAACCTGATTCGACATAAGCGCATCCACACTGGGGAACATCCCTACACGTGTTGGGAATGTGGGAAGAGCTTCAACTGCAGCTCCAACCTCCTCACCCACCAGCACGTCCACACTGGGGAACGGCCCTACAAGTGCTTGGAATGTGGGAAGAGGTTTCAGACCAGCTCAGATCTCCTGAAACACCAGCGGACTCACACGGATGAGAGGCCCTTCCGCTGCTCCGACTGCGGGAAGGGCTTCAAGCAGAACTCCCACCTCGTCATCCACCGGCGCATCCACACCGGGGAGAGGCCCTACAAGTGTGGGGAGTGTGGGAAGAGTTTCAACCACAGCTCTAACTTAACCCCACACCAACGGACCCATCGGTAAGGGAAAGCCCTACGCGTGCCCCGACTGCAGGAAGAGCTTCGGCCTCTGCTTCCACCCCAAATGAACCCCCCTTTCAACCACAAATGGCCAGTCCCCCAAGGTCACTGCTGGAGGTTGAGAGCAGAGATCTCCCCACCAGCATTGGTCTGGGGGAGTTCCATCCATCTCTAATTAGGAATATTAATCTCTAATTAAGAATTTTTGTGCCAGCTTGAGTAGAATTGCTTCAACAATTGCTTTAGTGTAGAGCACTGTCCTATCTTATCCTGTACTCCTGGTGATTTTAGTAAAGAATTCTGATGAAGATCTTTTGTCTGATCATTTGTAACCCTAAATAATTCATTTCTATGGATAGATCTGATTTGCCATCATTAAAACCTGGTGGACAAAAGTGGTTCAGTCACACCTCTGTAATTCCTCTAAACTGCAACTTCTGTCATAATCCAAGGCTGAGATTGGATCCAGCAGCCCCCAGCACCCCACAGTAAGCTGGGAGCTCAGGGGGGCCACCACCCTTTCCCAGCCCCCTGTGCCCAAAGACCCCCATGGAGGTCGAACTCACCAGACCACCCCCCATTTTCCACCCTTCTCCCTATTCCTCCCGCTTTCCCATTGTCCCCTCAATCCCGAATTTCCTCCCCAAACAGTTTTGGGGTCCCAATCCCTACTTTTTGTCCCCTCTCCTATGGCTGCTGAAGGAGAAAATGAGGCTGCAAACTCAGAGTTCCAGAGTTTTCCGCCGACACTTTTCCATGTCCCCTTTTATTCCTCTTCTCTCGTGAGCAGCAACCGGTGTTTGGCTTTTAGTTCACCGGAATTCCCAGCATGGCCCCAAAGCAGTGCCCTGATCCCACACATTCCCCTCCCCTCATGTGCTGGCTGTGTTCAGCCACCAGAGAAAAACACAGGCTACCATGCAGAGCGTCCATGCAGAGCGTTCCAAGTGGTTTCCACTTTGGCAAACAGCACTCTCTGGATGGAAAACACCAGTCAAGGCCAAAACACTCCTTGTTGATCCTGATTAACTGAATGCAGCTGCTGCTGCTTTAACTTGTTCCCACAAAAATTCTCAGGGTTCCTTTGCTTCCCGGAGGCCCCACATGTCATAATGGTCCCTTGATTCCATGAGCTTCCACAGTCTCCAAAGGTTCCTTTAGTTCCACGAGGCCCTGCAGTCCCAAAATGCCCTTTGGATTCTTGGAGATTTCCCACTGTCCCAGGGTCCCTTGTGCTTCAGAAGCAGCTGCAGTGGGACAGTGGCCCCTTGGTTCCATGAGCTCTGCAGTGTTCCAGGAATCCTTGGGTTCCATGGAGAGCCTGCAGTTTCACAAGGACCACTTGAATCCAGGAGGTTCTGCAAGGTCCCAATGGCCCCTGGATTCTGGGAGGTTCAGAAATATGTCAGGGCTGAGAAAATTTGAATTGTTGAGGCTGGAGAAGAGAAGGCTTTGGGGTGATCTAATTGTGGCCTTGCAGTGTCTGAAGGGAGCCAACAAGAAAGATGGAGAGAGACTTTGGACAAGGGCCTGGAGTGACAGGACAAGGGGCAGTGGCTTCACACAGATAGAGGGAAGGGTTCCAGGAGATAGGAGGAAGGAATTCTTGACTCTGAGGGTGCTGAGATGCTCTTTAAGACCCCTCCCAAGCCAAACATTCCATGATTGTGGGACTGGTGGGTGAGGTGGTGGTCGGAGCCGTCTGGGGCACAGGGAGACAAAATGAGGGAGTTTTCCATTGTGGGGGAAGGAAGGAGGGGGCAGCAGAACTGACCCCTTGGACACCTGGCAGGCAGGCTTTGGCTGGAAGCTGCTGATGGGGAGCTGAGTGAAGCCCCCACAATGCAGGAGGAAATGGTCAGTGACCTGCTCTGCCAATGAGACCCCCCCAAGTGCCTGGGCCCACATGGGATGCAGCCAAGAGTCCTGAGGGAGCTGGAGAAAGAGCTGGCCAAGCCACTCTCACTCATTGCCCAGGAGTGCTGCAGAACTGCACAAGTCCCAGCTGACTGGCAACAAGCAAATGGGATGCCCATGCACAGGAAGGGCCAAAAGGAGCATCTGGGGAACTCCTGGCCTGTCCCATTGACCTCAGGACCGGGGAAGGCCATGGAGCAGGTTGTGGGCTCACAAGGTGACTGGCTTTAGTAATCTGCTGAATTTCTATCCTCATGTCAGTAATGACTGGAGTTTTCAAAATATTTGGGAATTGTATCCAAACTGTTCCATTTGGGCTACAGTTCAGGTAGGGAAGCAATTGTCTCAAAGCCAGCAAAAAGAAACAATCCTGAAGCAGAGATTGAGGTAACTCACCCCACAACAACAGGGGGTAGTTCTCTCCCTTTCACTTAAGCCCTGGGCAGTGACCATGAAGAGCTGTCCCTGCTTCATGGCAGAAGCTCCACACACTTCAAGGAAGTCTGTGGAAGAATCTGCCACATGACAGATGGACGGGGCTTTTATAGTTATAAAGGATTTGACTGTCGGACATATTTGCAGGCCAGGGAGCAGCTTATCTGTCAAATCCTGCTTCAAAAAGCAGGATGTGTTTTTGAAGTTCCATGAAGCATTTTGGGTTTAGCATAATTCAACATTAAACACAGCACCTTGACACCAGCAGGAACTCACCACAGAGAGCTTGCATTGTTTGCATTCTCTGACCATTTTTTAGATATTGTGAGAGCAGAGCATCCTGCCAGAAATGGTCCCTTGATTCCATGAGGTTCCAAAAACTCTCAGGGTTCCTTTGGTTCCATGAGGTTCTGGAGTGTCACAGTGGCCCTGATGATTTCATGAGTTTACACTATGCCCCAGGATTCCGTTGTTTCCTTGAGGCTCTGCAGTGTCACAATGGCTTCTTGATTCCATGACGTTCCAAAATATGCCAGGGTTCCCTTGGCTCCAAGAGGCTCCCCAGTGTCCCACCAGCCCCTGGATTCCAGGAGGCCCTGCAGTGTCCCAATGGCCACTTGGTTCCATGAGCTCCTGTTCTGGTTTAGCTCAATTTCCCCATCCCATCCTGTGCTCAGATCTCATGAGAACTCCTGAGAACCAAGCTGAGCACACGCCGGGCCCTGGTCCTCTTTGGTGCCCGGGGCTGCCCCGACAG